CTCTCTCTCTCTCTCTCTCTTTCATTAGTCATGAAATAACACGTGTTGAATCGGACATAGCCGATCTTCTAAATTTGGGCAAAATCTGGAGGCTGTGTGTGGGCCTTTTTGAATTTGTAGACCTTCCATTGGCCTTACGTTACCATCGCACCCTTAAAATGCACACAAATGTGGAGCATATTTTATAAACGGCCCTCTCCTTGACCTCACTGTAGCGGAATGCTATCCTTGGCCCCATGTTTCATCATTATTCTTGTCATCATTTGTTTGATTGTCGTTCGCAATGCACAGTTTGTCATGGTAAGAATTATCAGGATTTAATGCAAATATGAAACTAACCTGCACCATTTAAGTCGCCATATGCACTGCCTAAAAGTCTGAAATTAATTGAAAAGTATTGCAGTTTGGTATTGGCACACTCCCATACTCGCATATGACACGTTCCTTATGCTAGTTCTTCAGTGCATGAGCAAGAAACATTAGTCACATAGATAAGACAGCAGTATCAGCCTTATTCCTCGGAAAACCCGGGAGAATAGAGGTATAGTAAGGTTGATATTTCGGCAGCAGTGCCTTTCTCGAAACAATGGCAGACAAGCTATTGTTTCGAGAAAGGCATGTTGCCGAAATATCAACCTAACTATATCTCTGTTCTCCTGGTTTTCCGAGGAATAAGACTAATACTTATGTCTTATCTACGTTCCTTATGTATTGTGGGAGTCAGACCGCCGCAGAAACAATGGTCCATTCCGCACGGAAATTAAACGGAAGGCAGGCACGGTTTGGATGATGGGTATGTTGAGGAATCCAGCCATCGTACTTGATCCAGCATTTCAAACTGGCATACACTTTCAATCTGTTCAAGCTGGTGAGCACGTGCTTGATGTGTAAAATTTGATGCAACATTGCCATATCCTGTTCAGCTGCAAGGTGCTCTACTGTTATTCGTTTGAAGCCCCCTCAGGACAAACACGATACGGCCATATGGGTATGGTCTTCCATCTTTGTCAAAGTGCCAGGGTGAGAAATGTTCAGCAAAGGCACCATTGGGGCAGATGAGTCGAGCTCAGCAGGTCAGTATCTTTTCCTGCCACCATTTGAAATGCAATCATTTTCATGCGTTTCGTTGCAAGAGTAAAGCTAAGGTTTTACGCTATGCTGCAAAAACGTTCTTGTCTATGTGTCATTTGCCACCTAAATCAGAACGTTTTGATGGTGCCACTGAAGGCATATTTCATCCCACAACACACCGCGGCTTATGTGTCAACCAGCTCTGCCTATCTTTCTGTACCCGTTTTGTCTACCAGCGTTGAGCTGTTCCCCGTCGCCTTTCAGCCTGTTCCTGCGGTATGGCACCGCGGGCCTGGCCACGATGGCTGCGGCCTGTGGGATGGTGGTGACCTCTCACTACCGCTCTGTGCTGAAGCTCCGCTCCATCGGACTCATCGCCGGACACATGCCGATCATGGCCATCGCAGCATGCAACGCTGGTCTGCTGCACCAATTAGTAAGCCTGTGTTGGAGTCATGATCCGAGCTGGTAGGGGTTGGGGGGGGGGGGGGGAGGCGTCGGTGGGGTGTGGATGTGGGTGGGCGTCGGTGGGATGTCCCGCCCGGCCAGTTGGCAGAACCATTACTTGCTTTTGTGTGCCCTCATCTGCTCTTGCCTTCTGCTACATTGTGTAGTGAGGTTGAATGTCCGTGACATGTTAAGGGGTTGTGATAGTCATGCCAGGTCTGGTGTCCTTTCTGGACCGTGTGCTGTTGCTTTTTGTGTGACCGTGTGCTTGGCTTTTTGAGTCTCGTTTCTACTGCATGCTGATGGTGGGTAATGGGTTTTCTCTGGTGCACTCTTTTTGGTGTTGGCTGGTGCCGCAGTGGTGCTGCTGTCAGGCACGCGGGATCTGAGCGCAGATGCTGCAAACAAATGAATACTCCCTAGGCATGGTGGTAATCAAGCTGGTGACTGCTGTTAATTCATTGTGGATGGTGATGACCACTTAGAAACCAGCGATTTAGCTGCTGGAATCACAGCATTTTGTGCTCAATGCAGTGAAGGGACTGTCAATAGATGGCAGTTGTTATCCTGACCTATTTCACCGCGCGTTTGTTGATCATTTACCGGTAATACCCGGTCTAATGGCTTGAGTTTTAGACAGGGGCGACACCAGAGTTAACGCCAGGGAAGCCAGTAACCACCAGTAAAGCCAGGGAAGCGTAACTGGTGGTCGGCGGAGTAAACTGGTGTTCGGGGTGGGGAGAACAACACAGCTGATGTGGGAGACGAAACAATGCAAACGATTCCCTCGTCGCTGGGCGGTGAAGGGTTCATCTCACGCAATCCTGTACGTGATAGACGGGTTTTGCGTATATTACTGCGCGTCGTCTAGTGTAGCTGACCTCTCAAAGTTGGCCAGGCATGTCCAAATAATGTTTTGCTGGCTCTCCGTGGCTATTAGGCCGTCCATAAGTTACGTAACACCAGAAGAATGGGGGCATTCTACCTTTGCCTGACAAAGCATTGCAAAGTGGAAGGCAGGTGGCCGTGCTACCGTCACAATTTGGTACATCAGCATATTTGATTGTTGAAAAGTGAAAAGAAGGAACCAACACACGATAGTGTAACGCCATTCGTGCGTGATGGGGTGCTTCCCAGCGGATCTGGAGCCTGGTTGGGCCACTGCGCGGATCATGGTCTACCGGCGACGACGTGGCGTGTACTGTGTGACTGCGGCGCGCCACGCGGCGCGAGACGAGTCAGACTGCGGGCAGCCCGAGACGAGTCAGGCTGTAGCAACACGAGACGAGTCTGGCTCCACACAGCGCGGGACGAGTCGGGCTACGGGCTGCGCGAGACGAGTCAGGCCGCACGCGGCGCGAAACGAGTCAGGCTCCACGCAGCGCGAGCCGAGTCAGGCTGTGGGCAGCGCTCTGCAGACCGTGTGGGGTATACCAAGAGCAGGGTTGTTGTTAGATCGTCAACGCACCACGTGTGCAATCCATAATGCACGCAATTGAGCCCCTGCCAGTAAATGAAACCGCTAAAGGGGTTTTTGCTGTTGATTTGGGTTTTGGGGTGACGTAAGGTAAAGGGGTTACGGCTTGGCATTACGTAATGGTAAAGAGTTTCACTGCTGGATCGTGATAAAGCGTTACATGTGGGAGGGGAGGGGGGGGGGAGCCAGCGTAAATGTGTTGGTATTTTATGGACGAACTGTGTGGATGAAGCCGTAGGGTGGCATGCATGTGTCGCGAAACGCCGCCACATCTTGCTTTCATATCATTACTGAACATCTTTCGTATCATTAACTGCGAAGACCCTTGAAAACGTGGTTATAGATCATTGACATGAAATAGCAGTAACGTGAAACTGGCGGTTCATTTGCAGAATGTTACAAAATTTTGTAGCTGTAGTTGTGTTACTTAAACGTAGAACCTGCTTTTACCCGTTTCCTGGTCGAAAAAGTAACCTGTACAGGTCTCAGTTTACCCTAATGATCCAAAGCGCCTACATAAAAGTGAGATAAATCCTTATTTATTCCTAACAATAGCCAGACCTGCGATATCCGTCTACACCTGTCGTTGACCAGTAGCACAGGGAAGTTGTAGTGTCTTCAGACCTACGCCTTCAAGGCCTGGTTTAAGGCAAGTACCGCCTGACGCCATGGTAACGCCATTTCAATGCTCTCGGCATCCATTCGCTTTCTTCGAGACATATCAACATTTTCCCCGCGATTCATCTCGAACTGACAATCTGCTGCACCGTTGACCGGACGCCCAGCTCCCGCGTTTGACCTGTGACCCCGCCGCGCCCGGTCCGCCGCGTGCCGCAGCTGGTGAGCCGGGACATCCTGCTGTTCGAGACCACCTGTCCGGCGTGCGTCAACATGCGAGCGACAGCCATCCAGCTGGGCGCCGCTGTGGCACTGCCCGTCGCCATGGCGTCCATCTCGAGCTTCCACGTACGTATGCTGACGGGGTGTCGGCCACGCCTCGACCGTAGCTTTGTGACCGGGGGGGGGGGGGGACGTCTTGCAGGTGGCGGCTTCAGTAGCAGTCACCGCCGAGGGCGGAGCCTTGTGAGTGCATTGTTACAGGTTGTTCTGGGCTCTCGCTACCGCCTGATCAATAGGTGCCCTCGGAAAAAGGTGCAGTGCCGCGCCAAATTCATTCGGGTGATAGCTGGGGTACGCGTTTAACGAGCTGCAACCAACTGCCTACTCTGCCGATTAAATGCAAGTATCTTACGTCTTTTTTCAAATAGCGCATCGAAAACGTGTGGTAATCTTCTCTTTTTCTGCGCATCTTCTCTGGGCGCTCAACTCGCCCAGATCTGTACCCATATCAGACGCAAGTAGTCGTGCTGTCGCCCGCCCCTGAGCGCGGACCACGCTGCTTGTGTCACCCGCCAGCCGGCCGTGTGCCCGGCAGCTGGCGGAGCGCAAGCTCACGTACCCTCTGCCCCGGCTGGCGGACGACCCGCGCAACTGGCTGGCCACCTGGCGGCGGCTGTCGCGTCCCCTGGCCCGGCCGCTGGCCATCATGGCGGCGATTAACGCCGCCTGTGCCGCCTTCGTCACGCACCGGGAGGCCAGCGAGTTCTTCACGATGCTGGACAAGGTGCACCAGGAGGAGCGCTGGCGGGAGCTGAGCGCTGGGTAACCGGCGGGGCGGCCGGAGCTGTGTGACTGGTGTTCGTGGTATTTGTAGTGGCTGATTAGTGTGACGATGTTGTGCATCGTGCAATACACGCTGACCTCGCGGTGCGGCCATTCCACCCGGTGATGTTCAAACTGGTGGAATGGGAAGGATAGCGCTATCGCTAAACAAACAGGCAGAGAGCATCCACGACTCCATGCGCAGGCGATTCATTGTGGGATCAACACATCGTTCTCGTGTAAACGTTGATTAGTACAATTTATTGTCATTTGAGCATTTTACGATAATCGTTTTGAACCAAACTGGTGCGAACGTGGAGTAAAATACAGATTGAGACCAGGGTTCGTGAGTCAATAGACAAACATCTCGATATGCAAAGCCTTACTTAGCTGCGGTCGGCGCCATCCACTGGTACGCCAGCCGTCAGAGCACTCTGTCTTTCACGGTCAGAGCTCGCGACCACTGCGAGCCTTAGACCATTCAAGCGCACTCGAACGCGGTGGCATTCTGGAACACGGTCACAGAAAGTAGAAGTCGGCAGTCCCTGTCCACATGACGGGAAATCGGAGCTCCGTTGGCGCCTGCGCCCCGCGACCTTGCGCTGTGGCTCGGACCGAGGCGACGGCCCTGTTGCGAGGCGAATGTACACGGGTTATGTTCCTTTGTTCGGTTCTGTGCGCACTATTGGTATGTCGATGTCGTTGTAGGGGTCCTGTGTCGTGCCAAGCGTCCTGGCGAACGAACCGACGCCACCCCGTTGATTCGGCGCCGGTGACTAGAGCTTTGGCGGACAAACGGCGCGCTTGTCTCCTTATCACAGGCAGAGTTGCGAGTCACTACGCTGGCGGCCCGTCCGCTGCGGCGCGTCCGGCTCGAGCGGCCGCGCGGCGACGGCGCCAACGTTCCGCCGCTGGCGCCACCTCTCCGCCGGGACGCGCGCTCGAGCTTCGCTCACTGCCGCGGCGTGGCCACGCAGCCACGCAGCGCGTCCGGCGCGCGGCACCAGAGCGAGCCGAGCAGGCCGCCAACGTAGCTCGCCCACCCTCAGACGGGCGCCAGGCTGGCCGAATCCACGTCGCCGATGGACTTGACGCGCCGGTGCTGCTTCTCGAGGCGCGGCTCGCAGGCGGCTGTCACCACCGACTGGGGCCGCTCGAGCGGCGAGGGCGTCGGCCGGGCCGGCTCGCGCGGCCGCGCGTACAGCGGCTCGCGCGCCAGCGCCGGCTCGGGCCGCGCGCGCAGCCCCAGTGCCCGACTCAGCGACCCCTGCCGGCCGGGGTGCGGTCAGTGCCTGTTCGACGGGACGGGCGGTGGATGGGGTGCGGGCACAGCGAGAGGCAGCGTCGTGGACGAAGGTATCGGGCGGATCACAACAGCGCTGTTCTGCAGAAAGCCGCAGCTAGGGCAGGCAGATGGTGCAGTCGGGTTTGGATCGCGCTCAGGCCGACGTCCTCGTCCTGTCCTCGTGGTCGCGCGATGCACAACTGCTGAGGTCAACGCTATTAAAGAGGTGGAAGGTCATCATAATACGGCAATTTACAGCTTACCAGCTGAATCAAAGGCATGCGGTAGATAGTGCTTAAGGTCAAGAGTTTTCCAAGATATTTGCTGCAAACTCTGGCATACAATTTCTGAATCCAGGCCATCTACATACCGGGTCGATGCGTTACTAAACTGTTTTTTTTTTGTGATAACATCCTGGTTTGGACGCGCTAACAATATTAACATGCGAGGGTACAGCAATCGACGAGATCTAGTAATCAAGGTACGCCAGATCTATGAAGGTGTCTGGCCGGTTCCGTGTCATTGCACCACATACATCACATCAACTATTTCAGCCGACGGAACCCCATGACCCGTCATCTGGCGGAAGTCGGGAACATGTGTAGCCTGGCCCGTCGCAGGACGAAACATATCTGCATTATTAGACAGCTCCCAGCCAATGCTTGTGTTGACCGCCCTGACTGTCCGAAGTGGGGCCCTGCCCAGGCCTGAGTCGGCACGTGGGTGCCGACTCAGGTGCCACGTGGACGGGTGAGCCATGAGTCAGGTGCCATGTCATCGTGCCACGTGGACGCCATGAGCACTGCAGGGGAAGGGGTGAAGGTGTTGGCTCGTAGCTAGCTGACGGCTGCTGCAAGCTAGCTGACGGTAAACGCAAGCGCCACAGCTTTGTAGCGTGTCAATGCCGGTCTCGGCTCCATGTAGAGCCTGGGGCACCACCATGCAAAGCGTAGCAACCCGCCGCCGTGCATACATGGATTTCATCAACAACCCACAAGCCGCGTGAGGATCGCAGGTGGGCTAAGGCTGTACGGCTAAGGCAGACATTACAGCTGCAACTATACACAAGACGTTAAACCCGAGGACCTGCAGCGCGCGCCGCCAGCGGTACGATATTCCTGCGCAGCCGTGGTTACCTGGGAGCTGCGCCATGCGGCTGGCTATGAGCAACATACAGCCGTTAGTGAACAGCACGGCAGCCATCGAGCCTGGTCAGGCCACGCGACATTCGGTCGCACCGTTTGCTGTGGAGGGGGAGTAAACTGGATTGGTGCGGACGTGGACATGCTCTTTGCGGCTTCGTAGGATCTACGTTTGTGGGTTTACTCCCTTTCAGCGGCTCTTAGATTGTGTCTCGGAAATACATCAATGAACGTTCAGGGAGGGAACTTTCAGAACGAAGCTTTTTCTCGTGGATTCGTCCATCCAGTTTTAAAAAGTGGAAACTGTATTTAAGGGTACGGCCAGGTGTCAATCTCATGTTAAAGGTAGGAAATGTTAAAGTAGATCTAGAATCTAGACCTGTCAATGTTCACGTCAACTGTGTGTAACAGAAAAATTTCGATGGGGTCGCCCAAAAATGCTTCCTGTAGATTTATTACATGGCGTGAGCCAACTTGTATTTCAAGTCTTTTCAAAACGTTGAAAATCTGTGGAAGACATTTTTTCAACGAAAAATGTTCACCCATGAAACAATGCTGAAAAAAGTGCAGCGACGTTTATCCGGTAGCTGGCTGATCCCAAACCGTACAATTTAAGCCGGTATTCTGCTCTGTTCTCAGGCCCCACGGATAACCAAACCAGTCTCCCATTCCATCTGCCATACATGATGTTACCTATTATCGGCAAGCATCCCTGCACATCAAAGACATTTCCTTCCTTGTAACACATCGTCGCTTCCATTTTGGCTCTCGCCTTTCAAAAACGAAAGCTTTCTACAAATGCGCCGCCTTAAAACCAGTGGGGGCCAAACCTGGGGGCACCACTGCGTATTTACCCTGAGGCTGGCATTGTCGCGGTCGGCCCGGCGCTGCAAGCCGCTGGCGTACGAGCGAGAGAAGGCGCGGCCGAGCGTGGCGGAGGCGCCGGGCCGCTCCGGCCGGCGCCGCTCGCGCTCCCAGCGCGCCTGGCGCGCCTCCTCGTCCAGCAGCGCTCTGTCGGCCCACAGCCAGACGGGACGTCACAGGGGTCAGGGTCAGCAGAGGTGTCGACCCACGGCTAGACGGGACGTCACAGGGGCCACGATCAGCAGTGCTGTCGGCCCACGGCCAAGACGGGACGCCACAGGGGGTAGGCTCAGCAGTGGTGTCGGCCCACAGCCAGAAGGGACGTCACAAGGACCAGGCTCAGCGGTGGTGTCGGCCCACAGCCGGACGGGACGTCACAGGGACCAGGCTCAGCAGTGGTGTCGGCCCACAGCCGGACGGGGTGTCACAGAGACCAAGCTCAGCAGTGGTGTGCCACAGCACGGTCACATAGCTGATGAAAGGAGCGATGGCGCAGCGGCATGCTGGGCGATGAAAGTTTTTGACGCTAGGCGACGCAGCTAGGGTGACAAAACACGTAACTCAGGGGCCGTCCAGCGGCGGATGCTATTTTCGACGATGACCTACGCAGTGGGCTCACAACTGCCGAGAGTCTGGTAACTGTCAAGAGTCAGGTAACATCGATGATATGAGCACAGTGATGACTGCGTGGTCTAACCTGGCCGGTCGCACCAGCTTGTCCAGCTCCGTCGACAGATGTCTCCGTAGCATCGTTTTCGACTGGGGTATGCCCAGCGCCGTGGCTAGGGTGTCGGTGGTGAATGACAGTTCCAGGATCACCATGGCGCCGTGTACCCCCGAGTCTGTGGCGACAGACGAGGGTGTTCCAACGGCGCGGGTCTATACTAGTTAACACGTGACGAACGACGTGCTGGTGACATTCCCGTGACCCGTTCGGCATTATAAGAAGCTCCAGATTGCTTTCAGACGTTGATAATTGCAACATTCCGTACAAAATAGCGCGTAGATGGAAATTTACCTCAAATACTGGACATACCATTCTAACAAAAAAGCAATGCATGACCTGTCTACGGCCACCTTGCCTTCTCTAGTGCATCTTCGATGCTCAACATAGGACGGCGTTTCGCACGGCTCCTTCTATCCGGCTGACCGGCCTGCGCCGCTCGCCTACCCTTGAGGTTGTCGGCGTATTCGCTGAGGTCGATAGAGCGCGCCCACTGGACGAACCGGGCGTTGGTCCAGACCAGCACATCGTCGCCGCTGATCTCGCTCCGCTGCCGGCGCTCGCAGATGACCTGGCGGTCGAACTGCAGCAGCCGCAGCAGCTGGATACCGTGCATCAGCGACACCTAGTGGCGGGATCAGGAACCGTTAGTTCCTGAGCGTGTTAACCAAATATTTTCTTGGGTCGAGTGCATTACAAAAACAATGTCTTCTGTGAAGATATTGGATCGGCACTTTTGCCACCGCGCGCGGGAGCCATATCACCTGTTATTCCCATCGGACACACGCATACCGACAGAGATGACATGACACGCTGTGTCATGATCGGACTGGTCCAAGCGCGACAGCCGAGCGGAACATGGGAACATTTATAGAGCAATCACAAAAACTTGCCTCGAAAATCAGTCCCCCACCCTCGCAGCACCCACCTGGTGAAACTTCCTGGTGACGCTGAGGTACTTCTCCATGTCCTTCCTGGTGAGGTGCGCCAGTAGCCTGCCGTCGATCAGGTGGGCGCTGAAGAGATCGGCGTACTGTGCGAGGCCGACGTCGGGCAGCCACTCGGCGGCCACCCAAGCGTGGTTCAGCTGCGAGATGTACGGGTACTTGCAGAGGTGCGGCTGGCGCAGCTCCTCGATGGCCAGCCGCAGCTTCCGCTTGTGCATCGGCTGTGCGATGCAGAGGACACGCTCCAGGTCCACGTCCGTAAGCTCTAACATCACCTGGTGGACGGAGGGGGAACTAACGGTGTGGCTCCCGGAGTCCGATTCAGTTTCAGACTTCGCGGCTTTCCAATCAAACGATCGTGATAATGGCTGTGTAGGCATGCAGTTGCAAGGTGTCATCAGTAGAGATGTGCGAAATACTCACTACCCAGTTGCGACTTGTTTAGTTGGTAGTAATTTCCAACGTTTGTTTTTCATTACCTAAACGTGTTCAAGTAATTCCCAGTGGACACCACATCAGAACTGAAAGCATCCATATCCCTATAAAACCAGTCTTAAAGGCCACTCCACTTTTCCATGCACGTAAACTGTACAGTGATTTCGACGGCTTCATTCAAGCAGAGATGAGCCCGCATCTCAGTTCCCCTCCATTTCTTGAGACCCCCGAGGCACGCTGTTCCACCACTCCACCGTTCGGCACATGCGGGGCTCACCTTGCCGGAGCGGACGTTCTCGGCGCAGGCCGGGCCGTACTGCGGCATACCGAGTGTGACCTGCAGCCACGCCAGCACCATCGAGGCCTTCCAGCGCTCCATCGGCAGCTGCTGCGCCTCCTCCAGCAGGCGCAGCTTCTCGGCGTACAGCTCGTCCGTCAGCGGTGACGGACACTGCGGCGACTGCGGCGACCAGGCGTCCTCGCCTGCGGCCGCCCGGCGGCGTCCGGCGCAGTTAGCGGTGCGAGGGGACGGCGCTAGGCGGCAGCAGGCGTGCGACGGACAAAGACGATGCGACGCGGGACACATGAGCAAATGTTGGAAATGCAGCCTTCCAAGGTTTGGAAAGGAGGAGCTGCCTCTGCCACAAGCATGTTGGGGATACTGACGCCGCCATTGGAGTTACGTTAAAACTATGCCTGGGATGCGGTTACAAGGACATTTTGCGATTATCGCAATGCGGCATCAAGGACAAGGTCACAACAAGGACATTCGCATCGATGGAAATGATGATGATCGGAGGTAAACGAGGCCATTAACTGCATCAGAACACATCACGCACCAAGCCAAACCCAGCAGCAGTTGACCCCACCAGAGGTCGAAGCAAAGCACAAAGGCTGACCGGGCAGACCAAACAGGCAACCCAACAAGCAGCCGGCGAGCCGAGACACAGGCACCGCAACGAGCGCCCAAAAGCTGACTAATGCTTTCATATTTCGCCAGGTACTTTATCCTGGGAATCTGCCAAAAGCCAAAAAGAGTACATTACTGTGACAGACCAAAATGTCTCATCATTGGCATGGGTCACCAGGCGAATGTGTAACTGAAGGTGCTAGGAACATCTTGTTGCGGCATGAAGCAGACCACAACGAAAATGGACGCCGTTAAACCTTGCAAATGAAAGCAAGCTGTTACGCTGGGACTTCAGAAATATTTGCGTATCCCAAGACATCAGCTCAGAGCACGTCGTCTCACGGGTGCAACGTTTAAGGTGTTCAGCTCAACACAGTCGCAATTGCGCTGATCTGCTCGTCTCTACAGTCTTTGGTGCGACAAACCTTTTGCCCGCGCCACCCAACGGCTTTGCTCCGTTCCCAACGACCCTACAAAAATCAAGGTTGGTTTACTGCCGACCCGGGCCATCGACAGCCAAGTGGAGTCCCCCGCCAGCGGAGCACCCACAGTGACACGACGCTCACCGTTGCCCACGTGCAGGTGCTTGCGCTGCTTCTGTCGTGAGAAGACCCGTGAGATGCTGCCCCAGGTTCCCTGCTTGGCGCCCTTGGGCCGCAGCCGGCGCTCCAGCTGCTCCAGCGAGTCCAGCTGCTCGGCCGACCGCGAGAGGGCGGCCAGGTCGACAGGCACCGGCAGCGGCGACGGCGCCGGCGAGGCGCGCTGCCCGTTCACGGCTGAGGCGACAAGGCTCGGCTCAGGACATTGCTAGGGAGGCGGCTAGTACCTGCTTTTGGCACAAACTATCGGCAATTCACAGCAGGGCAATGCTTGAGGGCGCGTTGTAAGAGGTGTGGGGGGGGGGGGAAGGGAGGGGGGGGGGGCGCTATTGATCGGGATCTCGCTGACTGCGCGGGCATATTCGGGCTCGGAGCATGGCGCCTGGGAGGGCAGGTAGCGGCCGACATCAATAGAGACGGCCCGCCGACCATTCCCGGCAGGAGACAGCTCAATACTATGGACGGATCAGTAACCAGGGACCGTTAACAAGCATAGGTAACAGGGTCACAGGCAGGCTAGAGAGCTCAGCACAGACGCAGGACGAACTCCGACAATGGCGCCGTCCGGACCGTACCCTCGCCGCTGGTGGTCGAGTCGCTCAGGTTGCCCGAGGTGCCGGCCGCCACCGAGTCGCGGTCGGAGCTGACGCGGACTCCCGAGTCGGCGCTCGAGCCGCGCCCGTTGCAGGTGGTCGGCGCCGCCGGCGAGAGGGCCGGCACCGAGACGGCGGGCGGCGTCGGGCCGGCGCGCAGCGACACCTCGTGATCAGAGGAGTACTCCGTCTGCGACAGACGGCGCCGTAGCTGGAGCGGAGGGACAGGGCCGGGCATCGGTCGGTGACGGGCACGAGTCGGAGCAAGGCAGACGCTTGTGTTGTTTTCAGAGTCAGACGCAGGGGGCGTTGGGTGATTAGTGTCGCTGAATCGAGGCCAGTAGATAGCCTGTACTACCACGCCAAGTGCAAGGTCAACTGATCATCAGCCAACATGTCATGGTCAAAAACCGTTAATGGAAAATTTTAATGAAACAAATTATAATCGAAATCGAACTAAAACTGACTTTAACCAAAACACCGCAGGGCCTGTATTCCACACCCATCAATGCAACTGTCACCTCCTCAGCCTGCCCGAACAAAACCTTCCCATGCGAGCAATCCACCTAAAACGAGACCTCTCTCCCTCTAAGAAACCTCCGAAGCATGCGACTGTTTTGCGCACAGGCTCCAACCACTGACCCACCTGTCCGAGTTCGTGTGAGGCCTGCTTGAGCTCCACCTCCCTATCGTTGAGTTGCACTGCAAGCGTCACGCACCGGTCGGCCTCCTCGCGCGCCCTCTTCAACACGCTCCAGCGCTCGCGCTCCAGCGCGTCGCGCTCGGCCGCCAGGGAGCGCAGCGAGTCGTTGTTCTCCTTGATCCGCTAGGTGGCAGCAGGGGCGGCGGGTGAGACGCCGGGATCGATCCGGCGCTGCTCAGTCATCAGGCGCCGCTCGGAACGGGCCTTGTTAGGCTCTGATATCACAGCCGGGATGTGGGAGGAGCTGATCAGGCAGGGCGCGCCGCTCGTCTCGCCGCCTGTTGGACTCGGCGCCGCGGGCCGGCGTAAAGGCCAGACGCGACGCGCGCCGTGAATGCCACCCGCGACTTGGCGGTCGGTAGTCTCGAATGGCAGCGCGAGTTTTTAAGTTGGCGAGCCTGATGCCTTATCGGCAGCTACACACTTCACAAAGATTGAGAAACCTGAGCACCACATGGAGCATCGCCGACGAGTTCCTGTGTGGGCTTTTGGCGTGGCACGGACACATGTCACAAATGATGGTGTCGTTTCCATGCCACACATATCAGCATTTAACCAACACGGTACATGCGTATGACATACGCGCGTGGGAAGGGGCGTGGGAAGAGGCATGTATATGAGAATCTTGGGACTGGCTTGTGTCACTAACCTGCTCATAATTCCTGATGAAGTCGCGAAGTTCGCTCTCCTTGTCCTCCAGTGTCTGGTACAGCTGCTTCATCTGGTTCAGCAGGTCGAACTTCTCCGCTTTCAGCCGCTTCCGGTCCGCTTTTAGCGCTGGATGGGCAATGTCGGGGGATCGGGTATATCATCTGGCGTTACGATCGAAATGATTTTAGCAGACAAAGCCACTGGCCGTTATGATTGGAGAGGGAGACCAATTTCGTTCTTTTATCATACAACGACCAGCGAGAAAGACGCATTGTTAAAAGGTGATAAAAATAGGGGAACCACTTCACTTAGAGCTCGAATGTTTAAATTTCACGATATACCAGCGGCGTCAATGTAAGCACCGTGTTGGTCGTGTGATCCCGTGTTCGTCTGGCACCACCGAGCGTTCTCACCTGCCAGAGCCTCCCGCATCAGCGCTGCCTCCGTCTCACCGGCCTTCAGCTTGGAGGTCAGCTGGCTGAGCTCCGCCTGAAGGCCGTCGCCCGTGGCGTGGACGAGGCTCGCCTGCGACCTCAGGTCGGCGGTGCGCCGCCGCAGGGTGCGGTGCCGCGACTGCAGGGTCAGGCACAGCTCCACTATCTGGTCCCGGTCCATGGCCAGCAGCGCTGCGGACGGGGCGAACTGCTCAGGGGGAGTCGGGCGTCACGGGCCAGATGTGTCAGCCGCGTCCAGCGGTGTGGCAGCCGGTTCGGCGGGGGGGGGGGGACTTTTCGTTGTTTTCTTCGATGTTTACACGTCTGCCATGATTGACCGCCTTTGCGGTTGTTACGTCCCATATATAGAATCTAACACTTCGATATGGGGCCACAAAGAGGGGATTACAAGACATCAGCTTGGTTTGGTTTAGATAAGAGCTCTTTCGGCCATCTGCTGGCCGAAAATGGTCCCTGGCAGTGACCGTTTCAGGCCTATGGGACGAACGTGGGTACGTATCGATGGGGGAATGCTGCAGCACGTTCCATTTGAAATGTCAGTCAAAAGTGTACGTAAGGATACCAAAAATAGGCTCGCATGCGCCGTCTGCCAAGCATTGACGAAAATTATCCGGCATTTAGACCGGTGTGTTTCACGCCATCATCACTGTCTGGGAGCTGGGGATGCGGGTCACCGACCCCGCGCCCAGCTGCTGAATATGCCACTTGCAGGATACCAGCAGGTATGGGTCTACCCGGGGTTGGGAGAATGCGTTGGTGTTCGGGAGCTTGTCGCACAGGTGGGTTAGTTATTATTGGGCAGATGACCGCTGACGATCACAGATGCATTTGCGAGAAATATATTCACATAGATAAGAAAGAAGTAACGGCCACCTTCCTCGGAGACAAACCAAGAGAATGGAGATATAGTTGCAATGATATTTCGTCGGCGTGCCTTTATCGAAACAATAGCAGAATTCAGATGAAGTCAAGCAGAAGCCTTATCATGTGATGTTGTTTAGATAAAGGCACGTGACCAAAATACAAACACATCTATATCTCTATTCTCCGGGCTTTTCTCGGAAGAATAATACTATTACTGCTGTCTTATATTTGTAAGACAATGAAATGGGTCAACAAGCGTTTTTTACAAGAACATATATGAGTGTCCACGCATGTCAGAAACGAACCAAGACAGATGGGGTCCATGATCTCAATAGCCACATTCAAGCCATTATTCTGCCCCCACAGACATGCCACTGCCTTCTCGCTCTCGTGTTTCGCAACACTGATAAGAAATTGGGATTGAGGTTCGTCCCAGTTGCTTGTGATAGGACTCGACCCCAAAATTCGGATTAAATTTGCATTGCAAATTATGTGCCGGGCAGTTTATTTGCTACTTGACATAAGGAAAGGAAGGGAGGCGTGACACGTGCAAAGTGGTTCACTTTTTATTTTTTCCTACCGAAGCATTCCGGGACCGACATTAAACAGAACGATGCATATTTACTCGTCCGGGCCTAAGCCACCCGCTCTGCCTTGTGTATTCTCAAAGGTAGCCCTCGTGATATGTTAAGCTAGACCGGAAATGAGTGGTTTTAGCCCAAATCGGGCGCACTGGATTAATCGACATGTTAGTTAAAAACTAAGCCCCTCAGAAAATGATGATGATGATTTGGGCTTCGGGGCGCACCGACTACGCTGGTCATCTGGCACCCAGCCCCTCAGAAGTCCACATGTGTGAACGCATTAGCGATGGCATGCTTTGACAGATCATTAACTCCCCGCTGGGTAACCCCACGCAGAGCAAATCGGCAGGGGCTATAACACCCATCTCTTGTCAATCTTCAGGACACGTGCGTCGCGCTCAACATCGCCCCGGGGCGGGGGGCACGCGTCAGCCTGATGTGCGTGCCTCGGCCCGAGACTTGCTCGCCACCCTCCGGCAGAGTAAACACCGGGAAGATAGCCGGTGCGTGCCGGGGCCGTGGGAGCCGCGCCACAGAGCAGCTGAGTCAATGAAGGCGCCGGCGATCGGGGTGCGTGTTGACCCAGGTGGGCGTGATCAGGCGAGCGGAAGCGATGCGGGCTACCATGCGCCTTGAGGAAGTGGTGCAGCGTGTCGACGAACGGGCCTCACGAGTGAGTGTCGGTAAAATTGGTGGAAGGGGGGAGGGTCGGCATGAATGAGGGATTTGCAGAACGCGGGTACTGCTGGAAGGAAGGGGAAGAGCAGCAAGGCAAGCCACCTGGTTATCCTTGCCATAAGATCATCGATACAATAGCATATCAGAATACTTAAGAATGCACATAGATTCTGCCCAGTGAGGCTCGGCTGTGTCCTTTCTGACGTGGAACGAGAGCAAGTGGACAAGCTTCCCCACTCAACCTTTGCAGCACAAGCTGACCTTTTTGTCCTTTTGGGCATGCGCGACGTTTGCCGAATTTTGCAAAGATTTGTTACGCATAAAATATAAGAAAGGCGTTCCTTTCCGATCCAATAACCCTTTAGTCTGGAGTCTTAGTCACAAACTGACATAAAGTCGGAGGATTCGGAGACCAGATGTCCCGACTACTGCGGACGCGGACGCGGTCAGAGTGACGCGTGGAGCTCCAAGGCAAGATACCCGGGACCGCCACTTATGTCACCAGCGGAAGAGCTGAGTTACAGCCATGCTCAGTCCCCGGAAATGTCCTATCTATGAATCAGTATGTACTTTAATCAATGCTAAGGGCTGAGTTGCAAACGCTTCCTAGATGCCTTGGCGCAGTAAGTCATGTCTCTACTATCTTCCTATTTTTGCGTTTGCTGGTGTTGTGTACATTGGCGCGGAACTGTCGCCAACGCTGATAATACACAGCTCAAGCATTTTTGCAGAGCTCGTCAATCTAGCATTTACTGTTTCGACGGCAGCTACTAATATTGCGGCATGTCTCTCGACCAAGCTGATCTTAATCCAATGGTTTAACGTCATCAAGCCAATGTTAGCTGCAATTGTGCCGACGTTTCTTTGGACGCGAAACCTTGCTGCCTACCAAATTGTAAAAAAACGAGTGAAAGAGCACACCTTGTTTGAAGGTGGTCGTTTATGACAAAATTTAGTTACTGGGAAAGGAATTCACGAGCGGTTGAGTTCGTTACATCGCCCTCCTTCCCCCCTCTCCCTACGGTGATGATGTCCACAATGTTTCATTTCCACTGTTGTTTAATGAGCCATACTTTCTGGGCGCACGCCCGAGGCTGCGGAAATGCGTGGCAAATAATTCACCGAATCGCGAAATGAAACGCAAACAGCGATCACGGAACAGTGCAAGACCCATTTCAAGACTGATGAAATGCGACAGCAAGCCTGGGAAAGAAAGGCTGCAGCTTCGCGGGAGTGATTAATGGAGAACGGCATGTTCACCAAGCGATGAACATCCATTCATTCCGCCCGAACCCGACCCGCTCCCCTCCGCTCCGACAATGGCCATCAAGGGGCCGGAACCAAACGACACTGCATATTTCATCCCGTTCCTCGCGGTGGCGTAATGGCCGCCAGCCATGCCACGGCCGTCACCGAGCCGGCACCGGCAGCAGTCATCGGTACTCCGCCAGCAGCCCAGATGTGGGCCGCATCGGTGCCGTCTTCCCAGAAGTGCCTGCCGACGCCGCGCGCCTCACACCGGCCCGGCCTGCCGGAGCGAATTTAGCGGCGTCGTTTCAGCCGGGCCGGAGCTCGTGCGGCTGCGGGAGGGCCATCTGTTCCGATCTGGGAGGGCGAGCCGGGCCAGACGAGGTCAGGGAGCAGGGGGGCCCAACCGGGATCAGGCTCGTCTGGCCTGGAGCTGTTCGTCGAAGTGCTAGTCTCGGAAGGGCAGGGCTTACACCGGTGAGCTGATTTTCCTGTCGGAAGACCCGTACATCCAGCAAATGGACTGCACCAGAGATACCCGCCCCCGCCCCGCCCGCCACCATTGTTAAGCAGTGACCTGACCTGTCCTAGCCCGACCTCGAAGGTCTGGGGTCGAGGGAACCACTCGCAGGAAGTAGCAGAAGTGGAGTTTCCGCTGTCAGTCACAGCTTGTTCAGAGCCGACGCTGTCTCCGTCACCAGCAACTCTGGATTGATTCCCGTCTCGTTGGTGGCTAGGGGACTCCCGAGAGCCATACGTCGAGTCGACCCCGCTCAGGACAGCAGTTCCGAGACTGGTCTAAGTCGCAGCCTGAGAGAACAACGACCCCAGGGACATCGCGACTGCCGGCCGGCCGGGCACGGAGCCGCCAGGGCCTGCTCAGGAGGCGGCCCGGACGGAGCGGGTGCACCTGCCTCGGGCCGTAATGGGTCCCAGTCAGGGCAGCCCCGTCACGGGAGCGGCGAAGAGCTTCGGTTCGCTGACACGCCATGACGACAGGGTCTGAAGTCATGAGGCTGCAGCCGGCGGCTGGAACGACCGCTAGGCATGGTCCGGCCGGAGCACGCGACCCGGCCCGGTTGGCCAACCGGGACTGCTGCTCAGGGGGAACCGGGATCGGTATGGTGGTATGCCAAGAGGAGGGCGGGTAGCACCGTTGTTGATACCTAACCTTGCAGCCTGACGGGAAAATAGACGATCAAGCATTGGCATTGTCAGGGACAAAGGAAAAACAAATACATATATATATATATATATATATATATATATATATATATATATATAGCTGCATTTAACCCATTGTTATTGACCCCATAGCATTATGATGTGTTATGCAGCAGCAGCGCGAAATATATAATTTTTTCCCACCGTTTGCCATGCACTGGAGAAAAGCGAGCAGCGCAGGCCAACGTAAATGGACGGGATATCCTCTTATTGGAAGGCCATTAGGTCATTTAAGGTCATTAGGACCTGTGCGTGTGTCACACGGTTCACGTTCATTTCGTTTCGGTAAGCGGTTACCTTTTAGAGAGGATCGGACAACGCATTTAAAATACGGCATTACAATTCCAGATATGCAAAGGATCCCTGTTCCAAACGCCGCCCAATAAAGTGGCCAGCCTCCAGCGGATGCCTCCCACTATCACTGGGCCTTCCGTCCATATCTCCACCACTTAGCAAACAATCAAAACGCCTCTAAAAGCAGCGCAAAGTCCTCTCGCCCGAACCACCAGAGTCCAGTTTTCCTCACGTTCGAACCGTCCAGTTCAGCTAGGAATGGACCGACTGTAACAATAAACCCAACACTCCATCTATAAATCTGGACGCTCCTGAAATACGCGCAAGCTTTGGGCCGCACACGCACTGGCATTGGTCTGGTATGCTCTTTGCATAATTCCAGGAGTCGATTTAGTGAATTAGTAAACTGATCTAACGTTCTAAAACCTAAAAACGACAGCAAACACTTACCAGTCGCGAAAGCATAAGGAGGGACCTTACAAATAGCCGAACGTTCATTAGCTGAAGGACGGGGCACGTACCCCAGAACGACCAACGACATGCACTCACCCTCCCTACTGTGGTACGCAGCCTCTTCGTCGGATGTGTCGTCATCAGCTCGCAGCCTCGCGATGGCCGAGAGTTCCTTCGGCTCTTCTCGGTCCGTGACCTTGGCGCTGACCTCCGCCGCCCCCGACGTGACCGTTGACCCGTTGACCTTTGGAACTTCCTGCGGCGAGACGGCCGGCGACTGCCGCCCAGGGTCTTCCGAAGCCGCCGCCAACTGAAACAATCACAGTCGGATAAATCGGGGATGATGGGGGTGGGGTGCGGGGACGGTCCGAGCTGTTTGTAGGACCAGAACAGCAATGCTTGATGCATATGAGTCGAGATCTTGGTGGTTGGTAGCTGGTTCACATGCCTGCATAAAACGGCTTTGTTCTGTTATGGTGGGTATTATTTCAAGCGAGCAAACGCAAGTCCCTGAATACACACAACGGGTACTGTAACCGCTTGGAACGTGGAAATCACAAGAGACATCAGCCTGCTTTTGACCAATAATTGTTCTTATCACTAAGCTTGCTAAAAATTACCCTATGCTCCAATAATGCAAATTTAGACACTCTAAGCTCGTTCCTTTACTCAATGCACGTCATAAGTTGTGAGAACATAGTCAACTTAACAAAGTAAACTGAATGTCGTTAAGCGGCGAGATCACACGAAGCCTTCGCTCATCACAGCATAACAATCGCAATCCCAATCTGGGTCTCGCCGCCCTGACCGCCGTACTGGGTCTGGGCGCACTGACCCCCATACTGGGCCTCGCCGCCCTGATCGCTGTACTGGGTCTCGCCACCCTGACCGCCGTACTGGGTCTAGCCACCCTGACCCCGTACTGGGTCTCGCCGCCCTGACCGCCGTACTGGGTCTGGGCGCACTGACCCCCATACTGGGCCTCGCCGCCCTGATCGCTGTACTGGGTCTCGCCACCCTGACCGCCGTACTGGGTCTAGCCACCCTGACCCCGTACTAGGTCTCGCCGCCTTGATCGCCGTACTGGGTCTCGCCGGCCTGATCGCTGTACTGGACCTCGCCGTCCTGACCCCCGCACTGGGTTTCGTCGCCCTGACCGCCGTACCGGGTCTCGCCGCTCTGACCCCCGTGCTCCGTCACACTGCGGAGCACCGTCCGGGCCAGAACAGTGTCATCCCACCAGCCGGCCGTGTCGTGCCCCCGAGCGGCGCCTCCCCGCACCGAGGCGGCCGGCCCGGCCGCGGCTCATGTAATATGCACGCTGAGCGGCGCGGCGCCGGGCTCTTCAGCACGACAGCTGCTCTGCCACGCCGGCCGTCACGCTTCCTACCTGCGCCGCGCGGCCCGCTCAGATGAAGAATGTATGCGTCGGGGAAATATGTCGCACAGGAGCGGGGGAAGTCTTCCAGGATTAGGAGACTTGTGAGGCATTCTGCTGAATGTTGTGGGGAGACGAGCCCTGCGAAGCCCCGCCGCGTAATACCATGGTTCTCGCAACTCTGATGTTGCAAGCATAACGGACGGGGCGCAGGACGCGAGTTTGTTGAAGTGCAGTCATGGGCGAGCCTTAAGCAGGCATGGAACGTATTATCTGGGCCCAGTGCACATGGCGGGGACCTGGTTACTGATCAAAAATGCACGAAAAAGTATTATCTGAGGTCGAAAGAGCACTGTTTGAGGTTTGGAGACCGATGGGTGTGGTGCTGTAGTCTCACTGTCTTTGCACCGACTACTAATAACGAGGTTTCACCTAATGATCGTCACTTAGTTAACCAGTGCTGCCATCTAGAAACCACACGCTGTGGAAGTACGTTTATAAACCCTCCCAAACGATTCGCTCCATGGATACAACCAAGATCCACGGCGAAAACTGACTCCTCTTTGTCACATCTCATTCACGCCCCAACAAAAAAAAACGCCATTTTTCGTCATATATCCCTAATGTTTTTGTCCACCAAAAAGCACACGACGCGGTCTGACTCGAGCAGCGAGGCCGCGCGACACCGGCCTCCCCTGCGCGTCCGACTCACCTGGTGAATCATACGGTGCGTGTCGGCCAGCTCCGTGCGCAGATCAGGGACCTGGGAGCGGGCCGTCTGCAGGCCGGCGTCGAGGCGCGCTCCCAGCAGCTGACCCTCCTCCATCATGCAGCCGAAGCGACCCTGGCGACGGAGGACGCGTGCTTCGTCAGACGGGGCGGTCCCGCCGCCGCCGCCGCCCGACCGGCATTCGAATGAGGCGCGCGGCGCGGACCGGCGGCGGCCCGGCAGGTTTTGTGTCGCGCACAGGTTCGGGGAAACTTCCACCTGCGAGGCCTTACGGCGGCGTTCTGCACACCTCCCCTTTGTCAGAGAACGTTTGTTATCTTAGTGCTGATCCCGGTCGTCAGTATGCAAGGCATGAACGTCTCCAGGCTCTCGCTGGCAGCAACATGTCCGGAATATGCTCTCTCCCTCTCCCTCCCTCTCTCTTTCTCTTTCTTCATGTCTCACCCCCTCTTTCTTGACTTCTCCGTATTATTCTCCCCCTCTTAATCTCTCTCGTTCTCGACATGCCTCTGGATTCCTTGACCACTCGCCCCTATCTTCCTCTCATTTCTGCTTCCTTTTCCTTTTATCTGTCACCCCTCTTTCTATCCATCCTTCTCCCCTCCCTTTGCCTATTCCTTCATTTTCGTCTACCTTAATCTTTTCCTTCCCTTTCCTTTTTCCTTTTCCCTTTCCCTTCTCTTCTTCTCTCACCTATCCCCCTTGTCCCTCACATCCTCCCCCCCTTTTCCCCTCCCTCCTGCACTTTTCCCCCCTCTTCTCTCCGCGGGATGCGACGCCAACCGCCCTATAACGGAACTTGCCGTACGTCATGACGCCCGCTACCTAATTAGGTTGGCCTGCCGTGCGCTGGCCCCGTTTCCGCCCGGCACGACGGCCGATGAAAAACAGCCGCAGGCCATCTGCCCGGCCCGGCGGTCACGACAGCGCCGGCTCAGCCCCGGAAGACATCCCGCCTCAGGCCATCTGACCTTTGCCCCGGGCACGCGCGAAGCTCAGCTCAGTCGGCTGCGGCGCCGCATATTGAAAGCCTTGGGTGGTGGTGGTCAGCGCCGGCGAGAGACCGTGTGACGTCATCGTCCGTCGTCCGTGACGCTGACCAGCAGCGTTTACGATCCTGGTTTCGCTCGCAGGCCGGCCGTAAAACCTGACCCGAGCAGCGTGGCGGCGCGGTGTTCCTCCGAGCGGCCTGGTCGGCCGTCGTCGCTGGCTGCCTGATCGGGATGCGAAGCAGCACACGAGGAAACGGTCGCGTCCAGCGAACAGTCAGCGAATTTTGCCGCAGCGATGCATGGCGCAGAAAAATCGCGATGACGTCTAAGAATAGCTGAGTGATTGAAAAAGAGCCATCGTTCCGCTCTTGTCGCCGTGGTATAGTTAAGTCGACAGAAACACTGGAGTTTATCCTGCTTTTACATGTCTATCCTCGGGCTCGAAAGCCTTCCAGCGATGTGTGAATATGAATAATGCCTCGACTGCGGACCGGAATACGCAGGACACTAACTAAAGACAAGTAGAAGAGAAACGTAATTTTTCAGCCTAACACGTCAAAATTTGAGGTCATTTTCTTACCACAAAGTGAAAGAGTGTTCCGCATTTGCATAGGGCTTTGAACTGAAACAGCCATTCTGAAGATCATTCAGTGCAGTTCGTAGTCCTACCCCTCTAAGGACACAAACCACATATCCGGCATTCCTGAGCGCGATTTCCAGATATAACGGCCGTCAACTGGCTCTCAATCAGTGTTGTACAAGGTGAGATGACGTAATCAAATAATGACTTCTTGAGGAGTATGTTAACTAAGTATAAAAATTGTGTTGCTTTGAGCGGCCTTATCCCTTAAAAGTATATTTATAGTTATAAGTGAGCTCAATTCATCATATCTGATGCTTGTTTCAATATCCTCCAACATGGAACATTCTCTTTAAACACGGACCATTGAAAGGATTTTATACCGTGCATGTTTAACGGGACGAGATCGACATTCGAGCCTTGGGGTCTGATGGTATTTATTTGTTTTTTGTGGCTCGCTGCGAAACAAGTAGGTGAGTACGACGATATAGCCCATATGTCACATTAATCTAGTGAGTATTGGTAGGTATGTGTGCTTACTGTTGAAAGTCAACGTTTCAACATCATAATTAGATGCGGCCAGCCACGGTTAATGCCATTATTTTCCAATGTAGAAAATGTATTTTTGGATTTTTTGTTTCTTTGCTTTTTTAACCGGAATTTTCTCTGCCCCTACCACAACGCTATGTGCATGCCTACGTTACCGCAGCGGTATCATCCGTCCCGCTTGGCATTTACAACAGGAAGTAGTAAACCGGCAGGCAGGTCTGCTGATGGCGTGGAGGATGGGAGCTGGAGTGCGAGGTAAAAACATGTCATGTGCGGAGCTGGGGTCCGACGAAAACGTATGCGTTACAGGCGTTATCCGTATCCGTTACAGGCAAGTCACTTCAGCGTTCGATTCTTTGGTAGTCCTACCGTTTCCATTAAAGAAACTTTGCGCAATCGCCACCGCTCTTGATCACGCACATAACACATTGACTACAGAATCGTTAAAGCGCAAAAATTATGATTAGGCTAAAATGGCATCACTGTAATTCGGGTGACAATTCCCGGTCGGCTGACTGACAAGCCGTTCTTGCGCGACCACATCTCATAACTTACAAATACATACGTAACCTCTCAGGGGTGGTGCCAACCGCGGGCGGGGGAGGGGAGGGAGGGGAAGGGGCAGACATATCTTTTTGTTACTCTTGAATTTCAGGAGCCTCTGTCATGCTGCCGGAAAGACCCACGGGTTCGAGACAGAACAATCGATGAAATCAAAAGGAGGGCCCTCCAGCCGCACCGAAGACACTGTCTGCCTCGCATGAAGCCTTAAATGACCAACGGCAGACTCCGTCGGTTGACAAAAGCCCTGAGTGATCCAACGAAGGCTCCATCAGATGCGCTGGAGGTCCCATAAAGAACAAAACATGATGCCTCTTCAGCAAAAGTGGCGGCCTCGACTAGAAAGACCGAAGGCTCTACTTGACCAATAGATGCTGTTCAATTATATGTAAGTAATGAAGAGGTCCTTTTGAAGAAAAAAAGCTAAGTCCAAAGGAATTTTTAATACGAGTTGGCATGGGAGGCCACCAGATCAATTTAGGAGGCCCCTAGATCTGCTTAATCCTCTTGGAAGCAGTCGGTGACGCCACTCTTGTAGTCCCCACGTCAGTGTATCACCTCCGCGCCACGTTATACAAGCGACTGAGAAGCATGCATGTGACAAGCTATTCAAAACCCATCTGGGGCACCAGCCGGCGCTTCTCCGCTCTAAACTGCGCTGAAAGTTTCCGAGAACGCTGCTTCCCAAACCAAGGCCCATCCAAGTGAATAGACGACTGGATTCTTCCCGGTCATTTTGCTGGTTTGGTATGCGCGGCGCCACTTCCAGCCGAAGCTCGCCGGACGACGCGACCAGCGTGCTGAAACAAGGAAACCCTCGCCACCGACTCGCCATCCGTTTCGATTAACAGACCGCGTCAAACATAATGTGACGTTCATCACGCTTAATCGGCTCCGGTTTGGCCGTCATTTATTGGGTTCGCCTCCACATTGTAGTTTCGACTTTGCGGTGATAGCCCAATAAGCCGCGGCGGTCCCCGTCGGGCGGAGCGGCGCGGTGAAAACGACAGCGTATTAAGCGATTAAAAGCGGTTGCGTGGCGATGACTACAGTATATTTGGTGATTAATAACTTCCGTGTGGTGATAACGACAGAGTGCCGATGGAACGAAACATAAAACATCGTACAAAACATACATATCGAGTAGCAAGCAAGACATGGACCCAGTCACAAAGATATCTATTGCGAAACACGTCCTACGCGTGGAATGAGCGATAACGATCGGCACGTATGACTGCCATAATTTGCTAGATGAATAATGCATCAGACTTTATGAAACGAAAAACTCAATCTGATCCGTAACAAGCTCAGATCCAGCTGCACCGCAAACGGAAGGAGCCGACCAGCCATTGAGCTCGGGATTTTCGCACTATTTGACGACCACATAAAACACATTTGCTGCTTGAGCTGCCGTCGAATACTTGACCGTTATTGGAGGAGCCTTATAACAGTCGCAAGGTAAATCACGATATGGAAAGCTTAAATTCTGCAAATCCGTTTTTATCAACCGAGAGGTCGTAGTATCACTTGCAATGAAATGGTATCAAAGGAACCAACAGTGTTAAAAATCGGTATGCTTTAAGCAAACATGAAAAATGTTCTCTCAAAATATTTGTGAATAACTTAAAATTTTGATCTGATGAGCCAACATTGAGAGAGTAATCTAATTTTACTCCCTGTTCACCATTATCAAAATAATACATTTTATTTACCTTGCTTTCCAACGTGCATCCTCTGTAACGTTTGCAACGCACTAATGTGTCAAAATATTGTGTAATGAATGCTACGAAAGCTTGAAACAATCTGTTTTGACAAGAAAATATGCGAACATGAAGGTATCATACCGGGAATTCAACGGACCGGCAAGGCTATGATTTCTTTCCTATGGAGTTAACCACAGTGGCCCTTTTTAAGGCGCTCTTTGGCTTTGGTAGTGGGAATATCACGTGATCCATGTGACGCATTGGTTTAAACTGCAATCCACCAACTTCTCAGAAACAGACCTTTGCCCGCAGGGCCAATCATAAACATTCCTTTATTCACACCAGGGGAGACACGCACGGTCGTTGTCATGACGACGGAGGTCGCAATTGTAGGGAAGAAGCGTAGTGTTTTTGTAAAGCGTCGACAACGTAATTTGGACTCGAAAATAATTAAAGTTGATATGCTCATGGTGTCCTCACGGTGCTACATTGCACTACCCAGTGTTATTATTAGACATAACAAGTCCTGAGGTTTTACTAGAGTATGTTTTTGAAACATGCCCCAAAGGTGGGACGCTACTTTTCAGAAGCGATGCCCCAAAACCTCTCCGTCTCGGCGAAGAAAGAAATGGGTTAGCTACTGGGCTTACCCAGCTTAAAATGAGTCTCAGTATTTGACCTCTTGGCAAGCTCAGGTCCAACAATACAAAATTACCCCGCAGGGATGATCGCACTTCATCCCTATATGGATGACCTAAGTGTGTTGGGGTCCATCTTCGGACCCCAACACGCTCTTAACCTGAACGTGCATCGTCGTTCATAACACCTTATCAGCTTATCAGCTCTAACACCTCATCCGGCTTACTTGACTTTCGCTGAGCATCTGCTTGTTACGGGCGGAGACGCGGGGTGTTCAGAGCCGTCCGTAGCTCGTCCACGGACGCCCGCTCATAGCCGGCGCCCTGAGCTCCTCACCCGACCGCTCGCGCCGCCGCTGCCGGCCGCACACCGCTGCAACATGGCAGATCGGGCGGGTCAGCTGCACTGCGCCGTCAGTGGGCGGTCAATGCACCGCGCCAGAGCAGCAGCAGCCGGGGCCCGCCGTCAGGCGTCCAGATGCCTGTCATTAAGGCGGTGGCACCAAGGCCCGGTAGGTGGTGGTCATCAGGGCGTGGTGGCGAATTCTCCGGTGGAATGTCTCCGCGTGGCGTCTCGCCGTCAGCAGGGACAGGAGCGCTGATGTGAGCGCTCGTGTTTGCGGTGCGGTAGGTAGGCAGATGTCATCGGCCCGGCAGTCCATCAGGACTTCCGTGCCGTAATGGTAAGGTCAACATGGCGCCGCTTCCCCGGGGGGGGGGGGAGAGACAACCGCCAGAATATGGCCTTCACCTCGGGCGCATTGTGCCGTTGGGTTCCTCAGCGGCTCGACATTGTTTTACCTCTGCTGTCTCACCTCAGCACCGTGAGGTGGAGCTGGGTGACAGGCTCGAAGACAAAGACATATAACGCTGCATGTCCGTATTCTCCTCGCAACGTCGCTCGTGTCGTAAACCTTAAATGGCCTCAGGTGCACCTAGCCGGCAAAACAAAATAAAGAAGTAACTTGCTAATCAGTTAATCAGCAGGCATGGACAGGAAAAAACACCGCTGAAAATGCAGCAGGTGTGTGTTATTGTCTTGGCTATCGACCCCGCTTGAGCGCTTCGCAGCCTTTCCGCTAGTGCTGTAGCAGTTGTCAGGTAATATTTGGCCCTGAAAATGACCTGTTGGGTGATGGTGGTCGGTCATTATGAGCCATGCATGCACCAAATGGAATGACAGTCACACCTCCCGTAGGAACGTCGTAATTCACACCAAAACGTAGCAGTCAGAAGCCTTGGTTAGCTAGACGTGCAACTTGCATTTCTCCACGAGAGCTGAAGTCAAAGCTTGCGTGGAACTCACGTTCGATATTTTCACGATATGCGCAGAGTGTGCCTGTGGTGCATGTATTACCAGAGCGCTATCAGAGACTATTGCCTTGTTGAAGAGACGCTGGGATGCTGTGCATCTCCTCTCCTTGAAGGGTACCTAATCATGTCAATTATGCGAATACCGTGGTGAATAAAACATGACTAAAAGCGTGAATATTTAAGCCCTTGATCATAAATTATCTGCGTTGCTCGGGGAGGCAGCGTGATTAAACACCCGCTGATGTTATCAAGTCACATGTTAAAATATGCTGCAGCTCCCCAACGAACGTTTTCAGTAACCATGTCGGCAGGTAAAACAAAAACACCCCACGGTGTACTTAAAACACAAAACAAGGAACCGCTTCAAATATCACAAGTTCCGCGGGTTTTTAAGCTTTCCTACCCTTTTAAATAGATAAAAAATGAAAGCACGATAAAGAAAATATAGCCATGGACGTTGTTACGTTCCTCTGCTTCCTGTCACAAACTGCATAAGAAAACACAGTAATCCCAGCAGATCACTTCTCAGGTGAGACCACTGCGCAATGTAGTGTAGTTTACGACAGCCACCATCCGCGCTCGAATTGCATGTTCGTTCGGAAGCCCCGGATAATTCGCATCAAAGTCCCTCTACCAGAGGCTCAAAGACTCGTCAACAAGCGAGCACAGGTGAGCCCCGGGCGGACTGGAGGCCCCGGAGGACGGCGCGGTGAGCAGGTCTGCTGACGGCCACCCCGCAGCGGTTGATGATGCAGACCGCGGGCGAGGCCGGCTGGCGTCCAGCTGCCAGCCGGCCAGCCGTGCCCCAGAGCCGCCCAGGTGAGGGCCCCAGCTGGGCCGGGCGCCGTGTCATAACACGCCCGGCGGGCCGCTCGCCCGGCACCGCTGCAGCGCCGTCAGTCGCCGTCAGAGGCGGCGCCCGTCGGACGGGCCTGTCACGGCGGCGCGGATCCGGAAGTGGAGAGGGAGAGAGCGAGGAGGGCTGGGGAGAGAGAGCCTGGTAAAGAGCAAATGACAGGAGGGCGGGGAAGTGAAAGACCGACAGAGGGAGAAGGGAGTTGGAGAAGGAGAGAAAGAGAGAGAGAGGAGAGAGAGAGAAAGAGGAGATAGAGAAGAGAGAAGAGAGAGAGAGAGAGAGTAGAGAGATAGAGAAGAGAGAGAGAGAGAGAAGAGAGAGAGAGAGAGATGAGAGGAAGAGAGAGAGAGAGAGAAAGAAAGAGAAGAGAGAGAGAGAGAGATAGAGAGAGAGAGGAGAGAGAGAAGAGAGAGAAGAGAGAGAGAGAGAGAGAGAGAGAGAGAGAGAGAAGAGAGAGAGAGAGAGAAGAGAAGCGAGAGAGAGAGAGAGAGAGAGAGAGAGAGAGAGAGAGAGAGAGAAGCGAGAGAGAGAGAGAGAGAGGAGAAGAGAGAGAGAGAGAAAGAGAGAGAAAGAGGAGAGAGGGAGAGAAAGAGAGAGAGAGAGAGAGAGAGAATTCGCGTGCAAGGAAAAAGGCGGCCTTAAAATAAAAGATAGAAATATATAGGTGCCTACAAACATACCCGTGGCACTGGAGCGACAGCTCTCGGTCCCCTCTCTTTATGCTGCCACCACTGTCCCGAGCAGCGTCATCATATTCGGCGTCCGCACATCCTCGCCCGCCACGCCACCCGCCAAAATCTGTCAGTTACATCGCCACACGCCTCCTGCGCCCGTAGACATCGCCTCCAACAAAACGAGGCGACAGTATGTCGCACGCGCACGCTCGCAGCACCGTCCGGTCATCCACGATCTCCTCCGACTACACAAGTGAGCGAAGAAGCTCACCTCCCCCACCTCGCCTCACCTGGCTGTCCTCCCACTCCCTAGCGGGAGGACGGCCACGAGCGCGTGGTGGGCGGTGACCGATGGGGACGGAGCAGCGGCGCCGGTGAGCTAGCACGACAGCGGTGGCCGCTCGTCCGTCCTCATGTCGGGCAGGCCCGACCCGGGGCCGGGTGACAAAGGGCTCTAACGCGGCCCATTGACGCCGGAGCCGCCCGTTCCAGTTCTGAGCAGGAAGCGCCCTTACCGGCTCGACAACCCCGGGTGAGTTCGCAGCGGACCGGACGACAGAGAATCCATGCTGTCACCGTTATTCATGGCATCCCACAACCCATATATTCCGCGTCTTTTGATGTCCGCAGCAAACCGGAAGACAAAGATGATATGTGTTGTCACGTATGATCTTTGTCGGACGTGCAGAACTTTTCCGGTTGATGATCGAAGTAAAACAGAAAGAGCACAACAGGCTCATCGTAAGCAAGTATACTCGAGCACAAAAGACAGACGACTGGTGAAGAAAAGGTGCGTTATACTTTAAAACAGTAAAATTTACAGTTTTCGCTGTTAGAAACACGCTTAGTACGTACGAACATGAATGTTAGTGTCTCGGATGTGCATTTACTGCGACGAAAGCTACCAAAATATACATAGAAAATGTGCAGCGCTACGAACACGTCCGGCCAAATGTGCGTGACGTCACGACAGTAAAGCATTCTTGGTGCGCTTCAAATACACCGCACGGCCCCTGCCACTTCTGCGAAATGTCTGGTCTTTTCTCAAAGCGGTTACATGCTGACGAAACTACGAAAACAAGCCCGGCGAGTAGCGGTATGCGGTGTTGATCTAGTTTCACGGCCATCAAAGAAACGCTGCTATCAAACGCAACGGCTGAATTCGTTCCCAGCCTACAGTCTTGGGTTCCTCGAACTAAAGCATGCCAAACATATAACTATGTGTTTGCCTCTGGTCAGGCAGCGCCCAGTGTAATTCCAAACTTGTTTTGTGCTTGCAACGTTGAAACACACATGGCTTAAATACAAAACTGGCCCTGATTACTGTGCCCAAAAATTCATTTCCTCAAGATTTATTGGGGGTGGAAAAACTGCCGCTAGAAACCACAATTTTCACCACATTTTGTGTTACCGTATTGACATACTGAAGGACATTAAGAAACTTGTTGGTATAGTCAGTTCCTTCAAACCGTCTGCCTCCCTCTCTTCCAGCAGCGGCGCCTGCTGTTTCGGCCGTACCACTGTCCCCAGCACAGCACCGCCGCGCCGGCAGCGACTCCCAGCGTGTGCCGCGCGCTGGTCACAGCTCTCCAGCAGCAGGTGTATCGACCACTGGCACGCCGGCCCGCTCGCGGCCGCCGTAATCACCTGGCTGACGCCACTCGGGCCGCTTCACTCGATTACAGCGCCGCTTCGCCCAGCTCCGCTCGGCCCGACTTCTCGAGATGAAGGGTGCCCGGTCCGGTGGGTCGGTGCGACTTCAGCGGCCAGGCGGCTGCGCGTGTGTGTCAGAACAGCCCCGAAGGCTCGCGCTGTGGGGAGGCATCACGGCCCTTAGCGCACAGCGTGGGGCTGTTCAGGTATTGAGCCCAGGCGGTCACCTATATGTGGAGCTCAGAGGGATTGCTGGTGTCCAAGTCCTGAATGAAGAGAGTAGAGGAGGTTGCAGTTTTGTAACAGGGTATAATACGGCCCTTATTGCATGGCATAGCATGGTGAGTTTAATAAAAGCACAACAGCATATAGGCAGAGGCTACCAGCGTTGCTGTCGATTCGCTGGTTTGCTTTGAACGGGAGGGCCTGCTTATCAACAACCACTTGACTGAATTATTATTAACGTTTTGTCCAAACCATCGCAGTGGCAATGGAGAACCGCGCATTGCACGACACGATCCACCGCTGACACCCGCCAAAGTGACGGCAAGGACGTGAAGAGAGTGACCGAGACGAGCCGGCGGCTGTCTGAGCTGAAATGGACACCAGTGTTCCTCTCGGCTCACCGGACGGTGCGCTGAGATTACTTTGTTTGGCCACCCGTGTCCTTGACGAGCCTGCACCAATTTGACGTATCAGAATGCGTGCTCTGACTGGACCATCAGTCAGTGCCACTGCCAAGATCCTCACGGCCGATCGCCGAGCTGCTCTCCGTAAAGACAACCGGCTGTACCTTCACAAACAGCAGAGCCGCCGGACGCGGTCAGCAGCGCTGCGCCACAGCCGGACGCGAGCCGCTGTCGGCTGCGGGACGGC